CACCCACCAATGTCATGACAGTTTACCATTGCCATGGCAACACCCGGAAGTTACCACCCCTTTTCTAAAAATTCCTAGATAACCCATCCCTTAATTTGCATGGAATTAAAAATGGATATAAATATGACTGCAGAGGTGCCCCTGAGCTGCTACTCTCAACACACTGCCTGTGGGGTAGCCCTGTTCTGCAGGAGCCCACACCGAGCTGTAACGCTGCCACCACCTCCATAAAACTGGTTTCTTCTACCACCGCTCACTCTTGAATTCCTTCCTAAGAATTTGCCCAACATGGGTAACACTAGATATTGGAAAAGACAATGAGGCAATGCCTTCGAAAGTCTAAAGTAAAATAATTTCCAATTTGGAGTGACCAACCAAACCACTAACCAAGTATAAGGATAGTACATTGAAGTCAGACATTTTCAGGAAGCTCTCAGGAGGTGCTCTGTCCAAATAAGAGTAAATCAAGAAAGATCTAGGATCCAAAAAGCAAGGCATTGATCTCAGGAGAAAGTCGAAAAGAATCCACAGGATGACACAAATAGAGATCTAGGATAACATCAGGTCACCAGGTGTAACATCAACCAGTTCAGAGTGAAGCAGGTCTGAATGCCCAAGGAGAAAAGTCTCCAGGAAGACAAAATTGATAAAATACCTAAAGGTTCTGAACATATTCAGAGCAGATGGCAGACAGCTAAATCCTCATTTTCCATAGCAGAAATCCAATGGAAAGTGCTTAAAACTAAAACATTAAGAAGTAACCATATAAGCATATTGGTAAATAATGACGGAAGACATGGAAGTGAAATCCAAAGGAAAAAAACAAAAGATGTGAAAGTAGTTTTTTGAAAAGCAAGAAATGAGGAAAGGGAGACAGATGACTCCTATATTTTATTATAGTCTTATGTGATACTATTATATACTATTATAGTCTCTTATTCAAAGTCAATTTTTAAAACTATGTGGATGTATGGTTTTGATAAACATTTAAACTAAATATGAAAATTAAAATAACAAATACAGAGAGAAAGCAATGGAGTAAAAATTAGACCTGTGGATAAAGTTAATTTTCCTGCTTAACTGCTCAACTTCTGTAACAATCCCAGAAATTAAGACCCCTTTGTTTTTGTTTTTGTTTTGAGACGGAGTCTCGCTCTGTCACCCAGGCTGGAGTGCAGTGGCACAATCTTGGCTCACTGCAACCTCTGCCTTCCAGGTTTGCACCATTCTCCTGCCTCAGCCTCCCAAGTAGCTGGGACTACAGACGCCCGCCACCACGCCTGGCTAATTTTTTTTTTTTTTTTTTTTTTTTTAGTAGAGACGGGGTTTCACTGTGTTAGCCAGGATGGTCTCAATCTCCTGACCTCATGATCTGCCCACCTCAGCCTCCCAAAGTGCTGGGATTACAGACGTGAGCCACCGTGCCCAACCTAAGACCCCTTTGTAACACTATCCACTCCCAGATTTTCATTTAAGAAATTCAAATAAATACAATAGACATTTCCATTTATATCAGCAATGGTCTAGGAGCAAGGAGTTATTTGCAAGCTTATATCTTCTACCGTCTCCTTTGGGTCGTGTATACTAGTATTTAATTCCAGTACCTCCTCTTGTTAGTTATATGAGTATCATAGCATTAGGTAAATTACTTCACCAATCTGACCCTTGGTTTCCCCATTCATAAATAAAAGTGATGACAATAACTACTTATTGGATTGATTGAAAGGATTCAATGAGTAATGAACTATCTTAAAAAGATATTTAAAAACAGGCCAGGCATGGTGGCTCACGCCTGTAATCCCAGCACTTTGGATCACCTGAGGTCAGGAGTTTGAGACCAGCCTGAACAACATGGTGAAACCCTGTCTCTACTAAAAAAAAAAAAAAAAAAAAAGCAAAATAATTAGCGGGGCATGGTGGCGGGAGCCTGTAATCCCAGCTACTTGGGAGGCTGAGGCAGGAGAACCACTTGAACTTGGGAGGTGGAGGTTGCAGTGAGCCAAGATCATGCCATTGCATTCCAGCCTGGGTGATGAGCGAAACTCCGTCTCAAAAAAAAAACAAAAAGATATTTAAAAGCAATCCCACTTACAATAGCATCAAAAAATAAGGAATTTAGTAAAGTTGCAGGATAGTAATAAAAACAGCATGGTACTGGCATAAAAACAGACACACAGACCAATGGGACTGAATAGAGAGTCCAGAGATAAATCCATGCATTTACAGTCAATTGATTTTCAACAATGGTGCCAAGAACACACAAAAGGGAAAGGATATCTCTTCAATAAATGATGTTGCAACAACTGGATATCCACATGCAGAAGAATGAAGTTAGACCCTTATCTCACACCATATACAAAAATCAACTCAAAATGGATATAAGACTTAAACATAAGACCTGAAACAGTGAAACTACTAGAAGAAAACAAGGAGAAAAATCTCCATGACATTCGTCTGAGCAATGATATTTTGGATATGATCCCAACAGCACAAGCAACAAAGGAAAAAATAGACAAATGGGATTACATCAAACTAAAAAGCTTCTGCAGTCAAGGAAATCAACAGAGTGAGGAGACAACCTACAGAATGGAAGAAAATATTTGCAATTCAAACATCTGATAAGACGTTAATATCCAAAATATATAAGGAAACTCATATAACTCAATAATTAGAAAATAAATAACTTGATTTTAAAATAGGCAAAGGACCTGAATAGACATTTCTTAAAAGAAGACATATGAATGTCCCACCAGTATATGAAAAAAAATCATCAACATCACAAATCATCAGGGAAATGCAAATTAAAGCCACAGGATATCATTTTACACCTGTTAGAATGGCTATTATCAAAAAGATGATAGATAACAAGTGTTGGCGAGGATATGAAGAAAAAAGAACACTGGCATACTATTGGTAGGAATGTAAATTAGTGCAGCCATTAAGGAAAACCGTATGAAAGTTCCTCAAAAAAATAAAAATATAATTACTATATGAATCCTGGGTTGATATAGTTTGACTCTGTGTCGCCACCCAAATCTCATCTTGAATTGTAATCCCCACATGTCAAGGGAAGGACTTGGTGGGAGGTGACTGGATTGTGGGGGCAGTTTCCCCCATGCTGTTCTCGTGATAATGAGTGAGTTCGCACACGATCTGATGGTTTTTGAAAGTGTTTGGCAGTCCCCCGGTGACCTCTCTCTTAACTGCTGCCATGGAAGATGTGCCTTGCTTCCCCTTCACCTTCTGCCATGATTGTAAGCTTCCTGAGGCCTCTCCAGCCATGCAGAACTGTGAGTCAATTAAACCTCTTTTGTTTATAAATTACCGAGTCTCAGGTATTTCTTTATAGCACAGTGAGAACAGACAAATACATGGGTAGATATCCAAAGGAAATGAATTCAGTATGTTGAAGGAATACCTGCACTCCCACGCTCATTGCAGTATTATTCATACTAGCCAAGATACGGAATCAACCTAAATGCCTGTTTATGGATGGATGGATAAAGAAAATATAGTATATTATACAATGAAGTATTATTCAGCCATAAAAAAAGAAGAAAATCCTGCCATTTATGATAACACAGATGAACCTAGAGGACATTATCTTAAGGGAAATAAGCCAATTACCAAATGACAAATAATGCATGATCTCACTTATATGTAGAATCTAAAAACGTTGAATTTGCAGACACAGATAATAAAATGATGGTTTCCAGGGGCTGAGAGATGTGGGAAATGAGGAGATGTTAGTCAAAGGATACAAACTTTCCGTTATAAGATGAGTAAGTGCTGGAGATCAACTGTTACGCATGGTGATTGTCTGGGATCATTTGTGCTGCTGTAGCAAAATACCTGAGGCTGAATGACTTATAAAGAAGAGAAATTTATCTCTCACAATTCTGGAAACTGGGAAGCCCAAGATCACGGCTCGTGAGGGCCCAGTTTCTCTGGTTCCAAGATGGTTCCTTGTTGCATTATCTCCCAGAAGGTAGGAACGCTGCGTCCTCACATGGGGGAAAGGGACACACGGGGTGAAAAGGGGCAAACTCCTTCTGTCAAGCCCTTTTAAAAGCTCACCGAATTCCTTTCATGAGGGTGGAGCCCTCCTGACCCAATCACCTCCTAAAGATCATACCTCTTAATACTGTTGCATTGGGCATTGTGTTTCAACATGAATTTTGGAGGGAATAAAAATGTCCAAACCACACTAGTGACTACAGTTAACAATACTATACAGTATACTTGAGAGTTACTAAGACAGTAGATCTTAAGTGTTTCAACACACTGTAAAAAAAAAAAAAATTGGTAACCATGTGAGGTGATGGATGCATTAATTAACTTGACTGTGGTAATCATTTCACAATGTATTTGCATATCAAATCATCATGTTGCATACCTTAAATATACATAATTTTTATTTATCAGTTATACCTCAATAAAACCACTTAAAAAATTAAGGAATAGATGAGATTTCCTTTTTCATAAAAAAGGAAAAGCTCTGCGTGTGGTGGCTCCCGCCTATAATCCCAGCACTTCGAGAGACGGAGGCAGGAGGAAAGGTTGAGGCCAGAAGTTTGAGACCAGTGTGGGCAACAAAGCAAGACTTCATCTCTACAAAGAAAACAAAATTAGCCAGGCATTAGTCCCAGCTATTCCGGAGGCTGAGTCAGGAGGACTGCTTGAGCCCAGGAGTTCAAGACTGCTGTGATTCATGATCATGCTACTACACTCTAGCCTGGGTGACAGACTGAGACTCCATCACTAAAACAAAAATAAATAAATAAAAAGGAAAGTATCCAAAATACCTAGCACATAGTAGGTCCAGTTTCCTCTCATGTATATACAACTTTACCCACACATTTTCTGCTTGAGCTTGATTAGGTATACTAAGAGACAAACACAGAAGTCAGCCAAAGATGTTTTAATAAAGCTCAGGAATCTACTGACATCAGAGTCAGGGCAAGTTTATCTTCATTTTTGTGGCCTCAGACTTTAAAGCACTAATTCTTTGTACGCTGTGGTAAATGTGGTTGGTCCTTGGGCTTCAAACAGCACAATTTACCACTCATGCAGAAAACATAGACCTTTTCGTTCTTCAGGCATTCGTCACGGCAGGAGCCACGAAAATTCCAACATTTTTCAATGCTGCCTACTGCAAAAAGAAAAAAGAAAGGACCTGATATCAGTTATGAGCAGAAATGGGTCCTGGATTGAGAAGACTAACAGAGGGCCAGACAGAAGAAGGGGGGCTGTAGAAGAAGGAGGCATTCCCTCTAGATATCTAGGGTGGTGTTATAGTCTATCACCATATTGAAACTCAGGAAATATCCAGTGAAACCCATGAGCCCTTTCTAAAGAATCTACTAGAAAAAGAGCTGTAGACAAGCAAATGAGAGGAGCATTGATACAGAACTAAATATTAAATATAAAGATACTTGTAGAACCAAAATGAGGATTTTAAAAGAGGGAGTGAAGTACGTAATGGCTATATGTTCTGACAATATAAATACAGTACAACATAAAAATAAGAGAATAATGGTGACAGCATATGCAGACATCTTAACTAGTTTGGGTAATCATGACATTATGGTAGGATTGATATTATTTTACTACGACTATTGTATATGTAATGAGAGATCAATCAAATGAGTAATCATGGGATATTCTAATTCTATCATCCTCTGTGACCTTGAGAACCAGAATTCTCAGTATAGAAAAGAAAATACTAATGTATATAAAAGTTGATTCTGAATTTGAGTTCTGAATTTGAATTGAAAATGCCAGTATGAACTCACAAGTATTTTATATTTAAATAGATAAAATAAATAGATGATTGACAGATGGATAAATAGACTGAAATTTTTCCAGCTCTGGTCACTAAGAAAGTTTAGAAACAATGACTAACTAGTAGAAATTAGTATCCCTAGTACCCATGTTGTAATCTTAAAATACTATCTCCCCGTAAACTTTTTTTTAAAAAACAGGACTTCTTGGAGATATGGTGGATTCCAGTTATTGGGCAGTAAATTACAAGATGATCTTGAAACATTCTGTAGTACCAGATACCAAGAAAGCCATCAAAGACTGATAGGGATATATCTAAAAGACTAATGAGCCAAATTAAAGAGACTCTTATTGGCCAAGATTAGGACAATTTGTACTTCTATAGCGATAATAATTGTAATAGATTGAACTCATTGCTTAGAATCATCAGTTCAAAATAAATAATATTTAAGAAAACCTAATGGCTCAACCTCAGAGGCTGATAGAAAACTAATTCATTATCTCTCAAACTGATTAAGCAAAGATAAACTCAAGCATTTATCCTGCCTTCCTCTCTGAACTCTCTAAACCCCGAGGTAACCAAATAGATGAGGGAAAATGCCTCTTTGATAAGGAATTCAGCTTATAAATGAAGGTTCTTCCCAACATATCTGTATGGTTCACCCCTCACTTCCTTCGAGTCTTCATTTGAATGTCACCTTCTCAGTGAGGCATTTCCTTAATATCCCTTTTTAAGCTCCAAACTCACATCCCCTGATACTTGCTATCCCCTGCTTACCCTGCTCATTCCCTCCTCCAATAGAATCATAAGCTCCAAGAAGATGGAGATTTTGTTTGTTTGTTTGGTTGGTTGGTTGGTTGGTTGATTCATTGCTCTATCTCCAGCACCTGTGCCTGGCACATGGAATCCACTCAACAATATTTACTGAACGAACGAGTTATTTAACTAAGCAATGACATGTCCACTATCCCCTAAATCCAGCTGCCATCCTGAGAAGAAGAAGGGGGCAGGATGAAAGCAGAAATGCTGAAAGACTGAACATTTTAAAGCAGAATGAGCTAATCTGAGAGGCTCTTTTAAATCAAAAAAGATGAATACAATTGTCTTCTGAAGTTACGTACATCCCTGTGCCCTAACTCTCACTTTTCCTACCAGCAGGATGGGAAACATTCAAACGAATTACAGAAAATTTAAAAAGCTACGTTTGTTTTACATCAAAATTTCAGGGTCTCCAATGTTGATCCCTCGACCTAATTTATTATTTTAAATTGAGAAAGGAATAAACTGAAACTCATAGGCACCAAGTAGATTGCTGGGGGCATTACAGAACTTGAAAATGGTGAGTCATGTTCTAAACCAGGATCTGGAGACTCTTTCCTCTTCCTCCAGACAATTAATATTTCACATTGCTCCCTGTCAGCCCATCCTCCCAGGCTCTGGTGTGCCCTGACCAAGACTCACTGTCTACTCCCAGACCCTCCCCTGAAGAGGTTTAGGTTACCTGCAGTGACTTGGAAGAAGAGCAGCAGCACAGCCAAAGTTACCAAAAAAGGCTTCATGACTTCAAGTAGCCCACAGAGTAGTCTCAGCTCTGGTGAAGTGGCAGGAAATGGAGGCGAGCTCAGGACTCTCTGCTGCCTCTAATCAGTTGGGAATTGTGTCACTCACACGTGCCATTAGCTGCCCACGGGTACAGTTCGCTCTAGGACAGCCTGTCTTTTTCATGCTCAGCCACCATCCCAACACCCCCGCACCCAGTGTGGCCCCCACACCCCGAGCTCACACACCTCCCTTTGTCCACCATCATCTTTTAGGGACCAGCAAGAATAAATCATACAACACCCAGAAGGATACTTTTTAAAATATATGTCAGCCCTTGTTATAACTCAGGTTAAAAATCCTCCAAGACTCCACATCACAACTAGAAAAAAAAAATCCAGTCTTTACTATGCCCTACAAAGTCCCATATTCTCCGGTTTAGAAATCCACCATTATCATGGTTCTCATGTAAATTAAGCAAGCTCCTTTTTTCAAATGCAATTCCCAGTTTGAGAGCTGAGGAGTAAAGAAGAAAGGACGATCATTCGTATCTTAGGAGAATGTGTCTATTGGATTATTTCCTATCTAAGAGAGGAAGCCCCAGTGCCTAAAATCCTCAGTTTCAGGAAGCATTTTGGCATGGAAGGTGAGAGAAGACAAACTGAAATATTCAGCTCCTTGTCCTGGCTGTGCCAGTTAGTGGCTGTGTGACCTTGGGAGAGTCACTTCCCCTCTCTGGGCTTTAATCTCACCAATGAGCAGATTGGGGCAGATGGGCTGTAGGGATCAACTCAATCCTCATATACTATGGTTCTTTAGGTGCTGAAAAGGCACAAAAAATGGAATGCCTAGAACACTAGGTTTTCATCCCCCACCTAGGCAACACTCATTGGGTTTACAACTTAAGATTCTCAGGGCTGCCCTCATCAGACTCCAATTCTCTTTACACACTGGGATCAGAGGCCTCTTTCCCCTGATACCTACACCCAGTATGCTATATGGTCCTTGCAAAACACAGCCCTTCTTTGGGCCTGCTTCTTGTGTAGTCAAAGCACTAAACTTTGCTCTGGTTATCATAAAAGCTTATTATTCTCCCTAGAGCCCTTCAAGGGCATCACACCAGGCTGTTTTAGACATGAGAACCATTAGATACTGATGAAAGAGCAGGGAAGACCTTGTTCTGTCTGTGTACCTCTGGCACATCTCAGACATCACAACCTGTTCATGGTGGACCAAAACTCCTTAGGCATCAAAGGGCCAAATCTCATCAGGAATTAAAAACAATAACAACAAATTAAAGTGACATCAAGCTATCATTCTTCACCTATCAGATTGACAAGAAGCTCTTTTTTTATAATGATAATCCCAGAGTTTCATAGGATCAAGGACTCAGTTTCTCAACAAATGGCTATCCTTGTCTTTTCACTTTTGCCCAGAATACAATGTCCAGAACAAACGGTAGGGTTCATCTGTGGGATCCTGAATAGGAAGCCTCAGGATACCACAGGAAGAGTCTCAGGAGCTGGCTCTCCCATGTCTGTGGCAAAGGCCAGCCTACCTATCAGTGAGTCCTTTGGGTTTATTGTCATCTTAGGTGCTACAGGGGCTGTCACGCCTTCCCCCAGTTCATGTGTGGCCCCTGGCAGATCCTACCTTTGACAACACCAGCACTTTCAACTAGGATGTGGTGGAGACCCAGATAAAGGTACCCCAGCCTGGATATGCTTCTGGACAAAGTGTAGATGGTCCCTCAGTGCCATTCCCATCGGTAGCCCAGAATCTCTCCTTCCAGTTGGTTTCATAGAATCTTGACGCTGTCCAGACCACAAAGATATTCAGCCTTAGGGGTTCCTATGTTGTCCAGAGTATGATAGGGGCCTGCTTTGTTGCATCAGTCAACATTAACTCTTAATGTATCTTTTTCCAATATTTATTCAAGACTTAAAGATGCAACAGAAATGCCTTTTTCCCAATGACTTATTTGACTGTAGTTGGAGATGAGGTTAGATGGGATGGGACACCCAATACATTTTGTTTCTTTTTCACTGCTCAGAGGTAAACTCAGTGTCCAAAAAGAGGCAAGAGAATGCATTAAGAATCTGCCTGCCTAAATAGCCTATGGTAGATTTTTCTTTCCTCAGAAATAGGGAAAGAGCAAGGGTATAGGTGTTTCTATTTGAACAGAAACAACAACACTCTTGTTCATTGCATCGTGAGCATCTAAAGATATACTAATGCCTTTGTCATAATAAATTTGTTACCATGAAGTGTTAGTTTCCTAACACTGCCATAACAAAAGTATACTTGCCATAACAAATTTAATGGCTTAAAGTAATAAAAAAAAAAATTATCTCACAGTTCTGGAGGTCAGAAGTCCAAAATCAAAGTGTTGGCAGTGTTGCTTCCTCTTTAGGGCACAGAGGGAAAAACTGTTCCATGCTTCTCTCCTAGTCCATGGTGATTGCTAATGATCATGGTGATTGCTAATGATCATTGGCTTGTAGCGGCGTAACTCCAGTCTCTGCTTCTGTGGTCATACAGCATTCTCCCTGTGTGTCTCTGTCCAAATTTCTCTTTTTTTTCCTTTTTTTTGAGACAGGGTCTCACTCTGTTGCCCAGGCTGTAGTGCAGTGGTGAGATCTCAGCTCACTGCAACCTCCACCTCCAGAGTTCAAACAATTCTGTCTCAGCCTCCCAAGTAGCTGGGATTACAGGCACCTGCCACCACACCCGGCTAATTTTTGTATTTTTAGTAGAGACGGGGTTTCACGCTGTTGACCAGGCTGGTCTCAGACTCCTGACCTCAAATGATCCACCCGCCTCGGCCTCCCAAAGTGTTGGGATTACAGGCGTGAGCCACTACGCTCGGCTGAAATTTCTTTTTTCTTATAAGGACACCAGCCACTGGATTAGAGCTTCACCCTTATCCAGCATGACTTCATCTTAACTTCACTACATCTGCAAATATCCTATTTCCAGATAAGTCACATTCATAGGCACTTGGTGTTAGGACTAGAACATATATTTTGGGAAAGACACAATTCAACCCACAACAGATTTTTTTTTATTCTTATTATGAGTGAAACTGAACATGTTTTCATATGTTTAACGCCCTTTTTTACCTTTTTTTGTGGACTGTCTATTCGTATTTTTGTCTGTGTTTAAATAATTTTTAGTAATATCTTCTTCTTCATTTTATTTTTTGTTCCCTGTTTCTAGAATTCTTATTTTTCAGATATTGGGCTCTCTGGACTGATTCTCTAATTTTATATATTTTCTCTCCTGATTTCCATCCATTTGGCTTTTTTCCTTTAGCTTCTCAAAAATTTTTATCAAATTTGTCTTCCAGCTTTTCTATTAATCTTTATTTTCCATTTTCTGCTATTATATTTTTATTTCTAAGAGTTCTTATTTATTCCCTTACTTTTCCTTTTTATAGTATCCTATTCTTGTTTCATGGTGGTAGCATCATCTCTAAGTTCTCTTGAGGCTTTTAATAATGTTTTCCTCTCTGCATAATCTATTTCCTGTAACTTTTTGTTGATTGGATGGTTGATCTGTTTTACATAAGACGTTTGCCTCTCATCAATGATCATATGGCTAATGATCCTTAATTATGTACTTATATATAAAAGTGGGCCACTGCAAAGCTTATTAGAAACTCAATGAATGATTTTGTTCTGTTTGGTTTTGGTATCTAATTTTCATAATAGATACTTTAGTAGCAATATTTGTGGTTCCTTTGTTTGTTTGTTTTGTTTTGCTTTGCTTTTTGAGACAGAGTCTCACTGTCACCCAGGCTGGAGTACAGTGGTGCAATCTTGGCTCACTGCAACCTCCATCTCCCAGGTTCAAGTGATTCTCCTGCCTCAGCCTCTTGAGTAGCTGAAATTATAGTTGTCCGCCATTATGCCCGGCTAATTTTTGTATTTTTAGTAGCGACAGAGTTTTGCCATTGTGGCCAGGCTGGTCTCAAACTCCTTGCCTCAAGTAATCTGCTGGCCTCGGCCTCCCAAAATGCTGGAATTACAGGCATAAGTCACTGCACCTGGCAGATATTTTAATTTTTAAGAATGAGAGATTAAAATGCTGATTAAGCACATGAATGGGGCTTACCAATTGTGACATTGACAGTAGGGTGATTTGACTGGGTCATTTAGTGGAGAAATGCCGGTGTCAGTTTTTTTAGACTCTTTTCTACTTCTCTACTAATCTCCTGCTGGGAATTCTGAGAGTTAAGTGGAGAATGAAGCCTGGGGGCTAAATAGTTTCTCAGCAACCAATATACATGCTTCAGCTAATCCTCCCATTTTCTGCTTACTAAGTTTATCTTCAGTTATGCTTGGAATCCGCAAGTTCAGAGGGCCTGTTTCACCCTTGCTATAGAAAAGCTTGAAGTCTTTTTTTCAGGATTGGGGTAGTATAGTATTAAGTACAGAGTGATGGCTGGCTGCATGAAAAGGAGAAGGAATAGAGTATCTAAGGATTTGATTCTTAAATACTATTTCAACCAAACCTCCTTATTTTAACTCCTCCACATTTCCCCCTATTTCCAGATGTTTATGGTGCCACTAGATTCTGAGCTCTTATTTATTTTGTGGTTTAAATTGGGTTGGTCCTTTGTTTTCCCCACTTCCAGCTTTAATTCAGTTTTCTTTAGACTGCTTACTCATTTCCAGCTCATCCAGCTGCCTTCTAGCTTCTAAATTGTTGTGTCCTCTATTATCTCCTCATATTTATTGGTTTATGACTTTTAAAAAAATGTTGCTATAGTTGCTGTCGCTTAAGTGAGGTTTGGGGAGTGAATAACTAAAAATATTTGTATTCAATCCACTGTTTTTACCCAAAAGTCAATGATGTGCTTTTATAAATTGTATTTTATTTTAATTTCTGATGTTTAAAAATGCTATTGGCCGGGCACGGTGGCTCACGCCTGTAATCCCAGCACTTTGGGAGGCCGAGGTGGGTGGATCACCAGGTCAGGAGATCGAGACCATCCTGGCTAACACGACGAAACCCCGACGAAACCCC